TTTAGCATTATATTCCCATGTCCATTTTAATCTAGTACTTATGGAAAATGTAATCTAAGGCACATCTTTGAAAGAAGGTGTTTAGTTATCTTAATGATTATGAGAAAATTTAAAAAGCTTTAAATTAAGTGAGATATATCTTATTTATTAAAATGATTAGTTAAGCATAGAGCTCTAAATAGTGCCTTTTGTGAATGTCTTGACTTAAAGTTTTTTCTGTAGTTTATAAAAAGTTAAGTGTCCAATTTAAATGTTTATGTACAATTTTAATCAGAACTTTTAGATATTTTCTTATTGCATTACTCTTCTTTGCTAGTATACAATCAGCCTTAAAATATAATTCATAAAGTTTGCAATTCCTTATAAAATGATATCACTGGACTTTTCATACATGCTGAAAGATTATCTACTTTATTAAAATTTTATAGGAGTAGGCAGACACAGCATAGAGTAAATTTAGATAAGCTTTGGTTAGATGATATTGATGATGTTGACTAAATTAATTTTTTCTCAGTTATTTCTACCCTTTCTGTCCATCTTTGAATGGCATTTTAAAAAATTACTTGGTTTCTTTTTCTTTCTTTTTTTATTAAATTTATTGGGGTGACATTGGTTAATAAGATTATATAGGTTTCAAGTATATAATTCTATAATGCATTTTCTGTATATTGCATTGTATACTCACCACCCAAGTTAAATTTTCTTCTATCACCATATACTTGACTCCCTTTACCCTTAACTTACCTCTTGCCTCCCCTCTTCCCTATGTGGAAACAACCAAAATACCCTTCAATAGATGACTAGATAAAGAAGATGTGGTACATATATATAATGCGATATTTTTATTTCTTTGAGCATAACTTATATATTGCATTGTGTACTCACCACCCAAGTTAAATTTTCTTCTATCACCATATATTTGACTCCCTTTACCCTTAACTTACCTCTTGCCTCCCCTCTTCCCTATGTGGAAACAACCAAAATACCCTTCAATAGATGACTAGATAAAGAAGATGTGGTACATATATACAATGTGATATTTTTATTTCTTTGAGCATATCTTCCTTTAGATTTTTTTCTCAACATACTATATAAAATAGCACTTATTAGTGCTAGACATACAAACTTCCATTAACCTTTGTTCTTATAAGAATATTAATTTGATAATTATTAAAAAACCATAGTTATATCTCCATAACATTAAAATAACAATTGAAGTAATAATGTCAAAAATAATGTAATTTAATAAATAAAGGAAAAAGATTGGACTCAAATTCTTGTTTAAAAAATGTAAAAATAATCTGTATGTCAGTGTTTCCTATGACCTCGACAGAGAACTTTGCTGGCTGCTAACAGGATACAAATCTCACTGTCAGCCTAGACCATAAAGCGCTCATCGTTTATGATAGGGTTCAGGCATGTACTTACCTAATATATAATTTGCATTCACTGATCTACTAGTGGTGTGAATAAAGTGCTATGAGATCAAAGAAGGGGATCAATTCTGCCAGGTAACCAAATAAGAATGGCAGGGAAGTTTTCATAGAGGAGATTAGATTTGAGCTGGCTATTGAACACTGGATAGAATTTTGTAAAGTGGTTGAGTGCACAACAGAGGGATGAAGTGGAGCACATAAGCAAAGTCTCTGAACATGACTGCACTATGAACATTAGATTTACGATTGGAAAGTTGAGTTGAACTAAGTATGGAAAGCTCTGTTGAGAAATTTGATCTCTGCTTTGAATGTCATCTGGGACCATCATGTGAAAGAGAATTACATAATTATAGGTATGTTTTAAGAAAGTGGACTTTATGAAATTTCAAATCGAAGGAAGAATAGTTAATTAATAAAAGGAAGGAATTAAATGTCATCAAGATTTTTTAAGATTTGGTGACAGATTAGATCTAGGAGATGGTGACCTTCTCCTAGATAAAAGGACCCAGGAATAGGAGTAGGTTTGTGAATAAAGATGATGAATTTGCTATGGGAGTTTCCAATGATGTAACTGTGGGAAACACTAAAGAAGGTTTTCAGGCAATTGGAAATGTGTATGTATTCTGGGAGAGACATCCTATTCAAAATTCATTCAAGTTCTACCACCAAAGCTCATGCATTGTTGAATATTACCAAACTATCCACACATGATTATTGTTTTGTATATTCTTTCAATAAATATTTTTTCAAATATTGTGAGGACATATGAGTGATACTGTTAATTCTGCTGTGTTTTTGAATATACATGAGTAGGAGGGTGCAAGTGTCATGGATTTGGTTAAATTTATTTTGGATCTTGAAGGATGAGTGGAAATTTACCTGGCAGGTATATATCTTGGTACTGACTGGACTGAAATTGTGAACTGAGACAAATTGTGAACTGAGAATGGAATTGTGAACTGAGCAAAATAATGAATGCACTCTAAAATGTAGACTGCGTGAACAATTTACTCTACCTTTCTATATGCAATAAATTAATCCTTCTTGATTTGTGATTTTTTGTTTTTCAGAAGATATAACCTATTAACTATATCAGAGCTATATCTATAAAGTTAATTCACCTAATAATCGCCTTAATGTATCTTTTTAAAACTCCAACAAAAGATTGCAAAATGGTTAATTATTCTCTGATATTTGAAAAAGATACATGTATCATAATCCATTAGGAAAAATGTACCTAGAACTGAATATTAACACTATCCAACTTTATAGAATAAATATAAGACAGAAACTATCTATAATGAAAACAACAAAATGAGATATTGGACCCATATGCCAGTATTTAGCTTATCCTTTCCAGAGAAGTGTAGACACCAATAATGTATATTGATGAAATTTCCCATATGCCTTGAAACATTAATAAATTGTCACCAAAAATACATTTACTCTCAAATTTAAAAATTTATGTTGTCTTGGTAACTGGGACTGTATTACTTCTCAGGAATGAGGTGATTGATATTTCTGACATCTGTCCGTGAAGGACTAGTTAACCATACCGAGCCATTCTGCTGATGGTCCCATAGTTTGTCTCTTTCTCTCCACAGTCTGGATTATTTTGTCATTTTCACATCGACCCAAGATAAGGGCTAGTGTGTTTATGCACACCAGAAGGTAACTGGGGCTCAGAGATCTGGGTTCTAGCACCAACATTGCTAATGTCTATTTCTCTGGCCTTAGGCAACTCATTTTGCTTGAGTATGCTTGAGTTTCCTCAACTATTAATTAAATTGCAATAACTCAGGAACTTTCTGAGATTTTACAATAAATAAATGTGTGCTAATATATTTTTTTAAGGGAGAGATCTAGGTCCTACCCGTTAAAGTTCTTGACTGCAAACAACAGAAATCAACTTCATTAACTGGGATGAAAAAGGATTTTATTAGAAGGGTTTAGGCTCAGAATGCAAGGTTGAACAATCAACTCACGCAGCACCTCAGGGAAGCAAGGCACTGTTGCCATCACTTTTGAACTCTACTGTTCCTGGACACTAACTACTATGCTGTTACACTTGCCACTTTGTGCCTTTGCTGTCACCCTCAAAAATCAAAGCCCTGCCAATACTGTCTGGTGTGTCTCTGTTCTGTCTGCCAGGGCATAGGAAGAGGGAATATCACTGTGGGAGAAGTGGGGCTCTGCCTTCTGCTGAACTTGGGACTGCCTCCAAGTAGAAAGAGAGACTGGTTGAAGGGCAGCCAGAACAACAGTATCTATTGCCATATCTTTCACCAGATTTGCAAAGGGATCATGACCCCAGCACTTCCGCCAAAAAAGATTATGAATCACTGCATTAGATTATCTTTAATTACAGCTCTGAAATTATATGATTCTAAATACTAATTTTCCCTTCTTCCATCATCTACCAACTCAGAATTTCTTTAAAATACAAATGCAGCAACAGAATGACTAACAACATCTCAGGGGCAGCCCTGAAGCATCATATGATCTTTTCAGTGGGTGTGTAATTATGATGGTCGGGCTAATGACAGAGAGTAACAGATGTCTCAGAGTAGTCACCCAGCTGAATTTCTTCCAAATCACTACCAATTCCTCAAACAAAATAAATTTACTTTCTCATATAGTCTTCTAGTACTGTGTTATGAATATATTAAGATTCAATATAGCTTAATGGTTAGGTGTACAAACTTTAAGGTTAATGTGAATGGATATAGATTTTGAATCTATCCTTATGAGCTGGGTCACCATGTAAAGTAACTTGGCCTCATTATGTCTCTGTTTCCTGTTTAGTAAAATGATAGTGATAATGCTAGTCGATGTGTGGTATTATAAAAACAAAATGATAGAATTCATAGAACTAGTGTTTGACACATAGTTGTAGCTCAAGAAATAATGAAGAAAGTCATAATTATAATAGTTAAGGAATTTCCAACTATAAACCAACATTATTCTCCTATTTCAGTCTTGCCAAACATTTCAAAAATGTTTATACATTTAAATTTTAAGTTAAGAACAATAAACATATTTAGGTCATGTGCTTTGACATATGTTCCATGTTAAAATGAGTTTTGTTAGCTATAAAATTGATGCCAAAATATCACATCGAAATATACCTATGAACATTTTTTTCTTATGTAGCAGATAGACCCAAAATAAAAATATTTTTAAAAATGACCACATTATGCTAAATTATGTCAAAATATATAAAATTGATTCAGTTATGTTAAATGGTATCATCAAACTAAGTTGAATATGAAGTACCAAAATAATGACTGATTTATTCTTCAAAGATGAATGAAACTAAAAGTAGAAAGTAGTAAATATGAATGACTTCTGAACCAACAATTGTCACTTCCAATATCAACCTCCTTGGCATTTCTGATTGACCTTGGCTTACCTTAGGGTGGGTAAGAAAAGTTATTTGTTGAACTATAATCAGGCGCAGCCTAGAACTGGTCCGGAAAGTCTGGGTTTAATAGTATGCTTGTTTCTTTTTGAAGCCTTTCTGATTCTGTGAATCTCCTAATGAAAATGCTTTGTGTTTTGCAGGTAGATGTGAATGTGGCAAATGCACTTGCTACCCTCCAGGAGATCACAGGGTGTACGGCAGATTGTGCGAGTGTGATGATCGCCGCTGTGAAGACGTCGATGGTGTGGTCTGTGGAGGTGAACAGTTCTCACAGCCTTCTGCTACTGCATGCAACTTGCTTCATCTGCCTTTCTTATTCTACTTTATCTATCTATCTATCTATCTATCTATCTATCTATCTATCTATCTATCTATCATCTATCTATCTATCTATCATCTATCATCTATCTATTTAATAATTCTGTTAAAAAGAAGATAAACAAAAATCAATGTACAATTAGACCTAAAAGCAATATACAGCTAGGTTTGTAATGACCTTTATATTCTTGGACTCTTGATTTAAGAGTATGTAAAGTACACAGTATGCTATCAAGAAAAGATTGTCGAGACTAAACTAAATGCTATAGAGATAGTGAAAGGCTTTGTTGCTGCTGAACAGTGTAAAATGATTTCTATTACTCTATTCATAAATACTGATAGGGCGAGTAAGTATCATCTACAAACTTGGAAAAAAAAGAAGATAACTTCCTAAGTTTAATTACAAAAGTCCCGTGATGGCTCTAAGACCTAAATAAAAGTTTACTGAAAGTAAGAAACAGTGAAAAGAAAGAATGAGGCAAATAGAGAGTGGTCAACAAAGGTAACCAGAGGTGGTCAACGTAAGGGATTCTGAGAGTCCCAGAGGGAGCGTATCGACAGCAACTGCCTGAGATTTCTCTAGGGAAGGGAATGGGAGTCGACATTATTCTCCTATTTCAGTCTTGCAAAACTAGAGATGATGCTTGCTGAATACAGCTCCTTCCAGGTTTTCAGTACAATTGCAATGAAGTGAACATGGAATCATACTAAAAGAATATAACTGTATCTCTTCAATATAATTAACATAATGCAACTGGGAGCTATTATTGGTAAAAAAAAACAAAATGCAGGTACAACTTATGAAAGACAGGGACATTATCACTATCATCCGTCTAATGTCCATATATATCTATATATTCTCTCTCTAACCAACCATAAAACAGTTGCAATTTGACCAAAAATTTCTTCTTTCTCTTCTTTGTGAGCCAAAGGTCCTTTTTAACAACTGTTGTGCCAGGTAGTTTATCTCATGCAGTCATGGCAGCAACCTTAAGTAACCGTTCCTGCTTTCTTCATCTTATAAATGGAAAAGTGAGTGATGTTTAAGGTGTTAATGTCCCCTAACTAAAAAGTGGCAAGCCCAGCATTTGAGCACTGATGTTCAGTTCACAGATCTT